CAGCACTCATCAGTTCCGACAGGAATCAACAAGACCCGCTGAGGGCAAAGTTGTATCCGGTACTTACGGTGCCGAGAAAAAACAGATACCTACGTATTTTTTGCGTGTTGGCATCGATTTGGTACAGAGGTATCGGTTCTCCTGACAACCCTATTCTGACCTTCAGTCTGAGCTGCACGACTCATTTCAGAGTCAGTTTCAGCTTCGTCAGGTGTTTGCAGAGCAGCGTAGGGCAGCTGTGGCTGAGCAGGTAGAGCGCCCACTAGTCGGAGGATCGGTGGTTCGATTCCCAGCTCCTCCTGTCCACATGTCAAAGATCCTGAACCCTTAAGGCCCTGACACACCAAGCCGGCGGTCGGCCGTCGACCAAAGTCGGGCCGTCGGTGAGCGTCTGTCGGCCTAGTTTTTGCGGTGTGTCCCGCACCGTCGGCACTTTGGCGTTGGCGGCTTTTCGGCCGATTGAGCATGTTGAATCAGCGGCGGAGCTTGTCGGTGAGAGAGATCACTCTGATTGGCTGTTCAGGTTTTATTTCCTCGCCCCTGTAGCGAGTGAATCTGCCTGTAGTGAAACCGGGGCTAACCGGTGCTTCCTCCTCAGGCTCCACTTCACTCAGCTGCCCCACAGACCCGCTGCTTCTTCACACTTTAACCTGAATAACAAACCGGAGCTAGCTGGGAGCGGCTAGCGGAGCGTTAGCCGCAGCATGACCGGAGGGAAGCACAGTCAGTTAGCCTCCGCTAGTCTCTGAGCTAGCCCCGGCTCTCCGTTTGGATCCAACCGGAGCACCGAGCCCTGGTTTGTTATTCAGGTTAAAGTGGGAAGAAGCAGCAGGTTTATCGGGCAGCTGAGTGAAGTGGAGCCTGAGGAGGAAACACCGGGACCGTCTGGATGTAATAGTCCGTGGAGGTGCTGCGGTGCTCGGCTGCACAGATAGGAAACCCCTCGGCTGACAGGATGTACCACTCTCTCACTCCGCTCTCTCTCACGCAGGCGCAGAACGTACGTGCTACTTGGCCGTCGGATGTAGTCCGTGTAGTGTGTTCAAATGCAACTGACACAGGGCGACGTGAGGCGACGTGAGGCGACGTGAGGCGACGTAGACGACGCACCGGTTGGCTTTCGTCGCCGCTAGTTCTTTGATGTCGGTTTGGTGTGTCCGCACCTTTAAATGCTCCTGATGGCTGTTCCCAGGATCAGAGCCTCTCTCTCTCTCCCTGTGTCTGCACTGTGGCAAACAGAGCGTCTGAACGTGCCACAGCAACATGACGCATCATGTGGATGGAAACTATGGAGGTCAGGTTGGTGGAGCTGTAGCAGCAGCGTATGATATAACCTCCTCCTTTAATGAACCAGAGAAACATCAGCATGTGAAGGAGGGGTGGGAATCAGAGGAGGATCCATGATACCGTGTTATTCTCGACATCAGAGACTCTGATTCATGGACACGTCTCATAATTGTTTTGTGACCTCGTCTGAACCTGAGCATGTGTGACAGCTTGGCAAATTGAAGTTCGCTATTGTCCCATGATGAGACTTGCTCTGTCCGTGGTCAGTTATCTGATCCAGACATCTAAAGTGCAACAACAGCCCAAACATTGTGTATGCAAAACTTTTCCCAAAACATTTGATTTATCCGAAACCATCTCCACTTCCTGTAAGCTTTTTTTATTTTATTTACCACAGTGTCATGAGCGTAGAGCCTGGAACGCTCACAAACATCTTTTTTCATTTAGTCTTTTATTAAATAAACAACATGTGATGTGTAAAGTGAGCCAGGCTAACTGTCCCCTCTGTTCCCAGTCTTTATGCTAAGCTAAGCTAACCGGCTGCTGACTGTACACACGTGGGAGGGATCACCTCTCAGCCAGTGAGACGTCCTAACATAAGTGTGACCAGGGCAACATGCCAGCACATTCCCAGGTGCTGAGTGTGTCCTGACTCCTGAGTAAAGTCCACCTCCAAAACAAACAGATAGAGAAAGCGAAATCAAGCTGCTCACAGCTCTGCGACCAAAGTCAGGACATGTCCATCTGAGAACACCTTGTTAACCTGCTGACCTCTCAACGTGAACGCCCTGCTAATGTACGCATGAACACAGGCCACTGCCTTTTGATATTCCTCCACTGTCGCTCCCTCTCTGTGAATTATTAAGTTGGCCGTGGTGTTGAATCTGCCCAGTAAGCAACCAGTTTGCCTCCAGGAAATATTTGTACGAACTCCCACGAGCTCCATTTCCGAGTCAGAGGAGAATGTGAAACCCTGCGCAGTGTGTCCCCGAGGCGCCTCGACGTAAAGCTCAGCAGCTCTCTGACTAACTTTAAAACACTAAACAGGAGATGGTGTTGGTGCTGCAGCTCTCCTGCAAATAGCCCCGCTGCTCGCTACACATTACAAAGGGATTTACTGAAAAGCTTATTCAAAAGAACACACTGTCTGTGGGAACATTAGAGCCGCTGCTGCCTTCGAAACATTAACTGAACAAGCCACAGTGATGAGTGTCGGACAGATCTTCATCACTGTGACACCACAGTCTGCTGCAAGTTACAGATTCTCCACGCACATAAACACACCTGATGCTGCAAAAACAGCAAATATTTCCAGGCTTCATGCACACAGAGTGGCTGCGGTGAATTAAAGCTGACAACGAAGTGTTTAAGCAGCCTTGAAACTGAACGCTCGGCTGATCGGAGCGTCATAACATCACACGAGCTGAGTCCAAACAGAGGCGAGCTGCTGCAGCTATAATGCTTTTATGGCTCCAGAGCTCAAGGTGCAGCATGGAGGCTACTCTAATCCATTAACTGACACCATGGGCAATTACCTCCCCATCATGTACAGCAATGCTTGGGAGCAGATGGCCAGCAGCAGCACTGCTTTTCAAAAGATTCATTTTTCCACACATGAGACGAGGGTTAATGTGTCGAGATGACCTCTGGAGACAAAGATTTGAATAAGCGGGATTATTATCTGCTGTTGTGACGCTTGTCTGATCAATGCCGCCATCACACACAGATGTTTGCACCACACAGCCTGTACAGTATGAGGGACGGACACTCCCTCACAGCTCACAGCGTTAAAATCCCTCTAACTTCCAATTATCCTCACTGGGATTGGTATGGATTTAATGAGGAGAATCAATGGGACATAATGGTTTGGCACAGGTGTGTGTGTGTGTGTGTGTGTGTGTGTGTGTGTGTGTGGAGTTAAACACTGGGAGAAGTCAGCCTGGTCTGGAATACATTACTGAAGCCGCTCAACAGGATCAGCCCACTTGCTGAGGCTCCAGATGTTGTGTGCATTGATTAGTCCCAACACATTCATGCACACACAGCCGCGCCAGATTCCGTTTAAAAATCTGGGAATTAAATATGACCTCACCTCTCAGCAAAGAGCACAGCCTCAAAGGGAGGTCTGAACTCCTGTGAGGAGCCATCACAGCCCTGCCTTCATTCGGCTCACATGCAAAACACAAGTACTGAAACACAGCCTCCCTGTGATGAACAGTGGCTGTACTCCATGCCGAATCACCAACACCTCGATGCTTTCTGTAAAACATCTCAGCTCGTGTCATGTGATGCCTTCACTGTCTGGCAGCACTCAATAAATAATTAAATTTAAAGTTCTATGAACAGGGTTTGGTGTGACATTCTAATACAGGTTGATTGCAGCTTGCATTGAGCCAATACCATAAGCGTTTCTCAAAATAACACACTGCTTAGTGGTCACTTCCTGTGCCGAATCATCAACACCTCAATGCTTTTTGTAAAACATCACACTTCATGTCATATGGTGCGTTTACGGTCTGCCAGCACTCAATAAATAATTAAATTTAAAGTTCTATGAACAGGGTTTGGTGTGACATTCTAATACAGGTTGATTGCAGCTTGCATTGAGCCAATACCATAAGCGTTTCTCAAAATAACACACTGCTTAGTGGTCACTTCCTGTACCGAATCATCAACACCTCAATGCTTTATGTAAAACATCACACTTCATGTCATATGGTGCGTTTACGGTCTGCCAGCACTCAATAAATAATTAAATTTGTAGTTTTACGAACGGAGTTTGGTGTGACGTCCTTTAAACAACTACTCCAGGTGTTGACGCCACAACTGCCCTGCATAACATGTATTGCTTTATAACTACTTGCATGAAATCAGTGCCAGGAGTTATTCTCAACATCACGCACCGCTGGGTGGACAGCTTGCATGCCGAATAACTCACACCTCAATGCTTTTTGTAAACCATCACAACTTGTGTCACATGGTGCCTTCACTATCTGCCAGCACTCAATTAATAATTAAATGTGTAGTTTTACGCACGGGGTTTGGCGTGACGTTCTTTACACAGCAATAAATAGGTCTTGGTGCCACTTGTCCTCCACAACATTGATTGCAGCTTCACTACTTGCATTAAATCACTGCCGTGAGCTTTTCTCAACGTAACGCACCACTTGGTAGTCACCTTGCATGCCGAATAACCAACACCTCAATGCTTTTTGTAAATCATCCCAACTTGTGTCACATGGTGCCTTTACTATCTACCAGCACTAAATATATAATTAAATGTGTAGTTTTACGAATGGGGTTTGGCGTGACGTTTTTTAAACAACTAATACAAGCGTTGACGCCACAACTGGCTTCCATATATTGATTACAGCTTGCATTGAGTCAATCCCAAAAGTTTTTCCCAACATAACACACGCTTGGTGGTTACTGTCTATGCCGAATTACTAACACCTCAATGCTCTTTGCAAAACATCACAACTCATGTCATATGGTGCCTTTAGCTGTTGGTAGCAGCCAATAAACTCTTAAATTTGAAGTTTTCTAAATGGGGTTTGGTGTGACGTTTTCGAACCAAGCGAGAGGGGATCGTATCGGGGGCGAGGCGTTGATAAGAAATCACGAGCGCCTTCCAGATCTTTAAAATCCTTTAAAGCTTCAGTGAGGATGGTTATGAAACTTATTAAACCTTTAAATATTAAATCTGATCTTACCTCAGGATGACGCGCAGCTCTGCGCTCTCTCTCTCTCTCTCTCTGTGCAGCTCTTTCCTCTGCTATTCCTCAAAACGTCCAAAAGTTACAGAAATCAAACTCGTCCCGTGAGTCAGCGGTGCTTCAGTAAAAAGTTCCCACATTTACATCCTGATGACTCGGACACGGACACGGACACGGAGCAGAGAGCGACTCGGAGCCGCAGCTGAAGTTTGACTCCAACAATATTCCCGACAAACAAGTAAAGAGCAGCTCCTCCGCGCTCCCCGCCCAGGAACCGGCTCTACACACTCCCGGTCCTCAGGTGCAGTTCACACACTCACACACACTCTCTCTCACACACACACGCAGGTTATAACGGCAGCGGAGTGTTTTCTGTGTCCGGTGCGACACACACTCTCACACACACACACACATGCAGCCGGTGTGCAGCAGGAGCTCCGCTGCTGACGGCGCGCTACGCAACAAAACTGGGGAGTATCAGGATGAGGCTTTTTCCTCCTCCTCCTCCTCTTCCTCCTCCTCCCAACACCAAACCCCCAGAGCCTGGAGGTTCACACAACCTGTCAAGTGACACACAGTCAGCTGTGTGTACCAGAAGTACACATGGTTTCCTTTCAAAATAAAAGCTGCGCCTCAAAGTCTGCACACATGGATAATGTCAGGCTTTATAAAACTCAGTGTAGTTCATGGGTCACACACAGGCCGGTGTACGTCTGTTAAGTCCGGTTTAAGTCGCACTAACATGTTTACGTGTATTTTGAAAGTCCGGTTTAAGTCGCACTAACATGTTTACGTGTATTTTGAAAGTTCGGTTTAAGTAGGACTAACATGTTTACGTGTATTTTGAAAGTCTGGTTTGAGTCGCACTAACATGTTTACGTGTATTTTAAAAGTCCGGTTTAAGTTGGACTAACATCTTTACGTGTATTTTAAAAGTCCGGTTTGAGTCGCGCTAACATGTTTACATGTATTTTAAAAGTCCGGTTTAAGTCGCGCTAACATGTTTACGTGTATTTTAAAAGTCCGGTTTAAGTCGCACTAACATATTTACGTGTATTTTAAAAGTTCGGTTTAAGTCGCGCTAACATGTTTACGTGTATTTTAAAAGTTCGGTTTGAGTCGCACTAACATGTTTACATGTATTTTAAAAGTCCGGTTTAAGTCGCGCTAACATGTTTACGTGTATTTTAAAAGTCCGGTTTAAGTCGCACTAACATATTTACGTGTATTTTAAAAGTTCGGTTTAAGTCGCGCTAACATGTTTATGTGTATTTTAAAAGTCTGGTTTAAGTAGGACTAACATGTTTACGTGTATTTTGAAAGTACGGTTTAAGTCGCACTAACATGTTTACGTGTGTTTTAAAAGTCCGGTTTAAGTTGCACTAACATGTCATGGAAACAGACTGAGTGACTTTTAGACGAGGGGACCAGCAGCAGTAAAACGTCAACTCATTTCCAAGTTTCAATCATATGTGTCTAACTCCAGCTGCAGGAAACATCTGTACAGCTGATACACACCTGCCGTCTGGAATAAAAACGAGCTGCTGACGTCCTTCAGCTGTCAAATTAGGCTGAACCCTGTGAGGTGAAAGTAAGAAACCAGCATCTTCTCACCTCTGAACAGATCTATATCAAGATTACGCTTTTAATTTTTAAATATGATTTATCTTAAATTCTAATAATGAAACATCAGGAAACACCACTCTGTCTTTAATGTGCAGCTGATGGACGTTGCTGTCACACACACACGGAAACAGAGCTGAGAAAATATATAATTATGGTAAATCAAAATATTAATAAATGTGTTAGAATGTGAATCAGAAATACTTTACTGATCCTTGAGGGGAATTTGTGATTCATTACAGTCGCTCCAATGTAAAGAAGAGAGAATTATAAGAAGTAAGAACAGAAGTGTGTAAATATAAAGCAATAAAATAACGTAAAAAACAAAATAAAATAAAATAAAATGAGCATTATGTGACAGTGTTTAACCCCGGTACTTAGGGTGTTGAAAATCTAAAAAATAAAACATATATGGTCACTGTGCTGAGGCTGTAGGTGTGATATTTTTAACTACAATATATACATCGATAGAATAAAACAAAAACTGAAGAGTAAACATGTATGTTCTGCATTGTCTAACTAATTATCAGTCGCTCCATAATTAAGGAACAGTTCACATCATTTCCTGTCGTTATAAAAAGTTATACAAACTGACTTTAATCACAGTTTCTGTGTGAAACTAGATTTCTGTAAGTTTACAGTCAAAACTAAAACAGGTTTTATTTTGAAAACTGCAACAGGAAGTGGTCCTCTGTGTGTTCTGTGGCTTGACAGCAGCAGATTAAACTCAGGGTTTAAATTAAAGACCATTAAAGAAAAACACCTTTGAACGTAAGAGGCCGATAAAGGTGATGTTCGTTAATGAAACATCGTCAACATTAAAATTCTGCTTTTAATTAGAATCAAGAAACAAACCAATCAAACTGTTGCTTTGCTTCAGACAGATGTTGTGTGATCCTCGTTAGATTAAGACCGTCCTGTAAATAGATTAAACACAGTTTAATTTACATCCCTGATCACTTGTTCAGACTCCCCGGGGTCATTAATTGGATTTATTTTTCATTTCATCCACAGATTTTCTTCCTCATCAGATTCTTCTGGTCAAATGGAGGCAGATCTTCAGAGCGGTGTGCAGAGCGGCCGCGCTGTCAAGCCCAGTTAAGCGTGCAGTCGCCCCTGCTGCTAATGCGAGCGCCTGCAGCGGCACAATGGAGGCTTTGTTGTTGGAGAATTTGTCTGAGAAGTAATCCTTGACCCTGGACCACTCAGAGGCCCGAGCCTTTGTTTCATAAGGCTCCTGAATGTTACAGTAGGGACCAGCGCTCTGCAGCAACTTAAAGTTAGAGTGAGGCGTGCTGCGGCTGATGTGTGTGACAGTATGTGAGAGCTGTGTGTGAATGTTTGAGTCACATTTTTGCTTTTTTAGATTTATATATTTTATTTTGACTACACCATCCTACAACTGGAAAATCTGGATTAATCCACCGCTGAAAATAGTGCCCCAGAAAAAGCACCATTTCCTCCTGTTTTGATGACGTTTATTAAAAACCATAGTGACCAGCTGTTTTGGGAAATAACCGAGAATTCAACAGTAATGAAACTGCACATCTGAGCTGTTTTTAAAGATAAACATTTCCAACAGGAAGTGAGAGCAACAGACAGAAAGTCACAGAGAGACAAACACATTTTTGTTTTAGGTGTGTTTATGGGATTTGTTGGCCTGAAAGATTTTACAGCATCAGAATTATTCTACGATATGGATCTGTGACGACACATCAGAGCGCTGCAGGGATGACGTGTTGTTTGTAGGCTGACACGGAAGTTGGCGTCGCCCTGGTTAACTTGTCAGATATCCAATGGAATTTTCCACAGTTGTAGGGTTAGAGCAGGGATACTGGACCTCTGCAAAATGACAGGAGGCTAGTTAGTAAATAAACATTACTAATCAATATATAAGATCTCTGCTGTGGGGTCGGAGGGACCCTCTCCTGGCTCCTGTTTTTATAAACAAGCTCTATATTGAAATATATTTTTTGTAGGTCGTTGTGTAAGTTAGCGTTGCCCTGGCTCCCTCGTCAAAAAGCCAACAGGATTTTCCCATTGGCTTTTGAATTATTGCAGAAAATAAACTCTGTGACAAACAAACATTTATGAAACTTACATGTTTTATTCAGTGAGATAATCATAACAAATTCATCTTCTCCAGTTTTGTGATTATTGAAGCCTTCACACAATCACCAGGAGTAAAAAGCTAACGTTAGGGTATAAACAAACCACACTACAGTCACGACTTAAAGTTTCTTTATGCTTCTGCGTACACTCGTACACTCGACGCAATGTGCACGCAGTTGCTGTGTGCCTATCATAGTTCTGCGTCCTGTTGGTCTATGTCGCTATGCAATTCCCCACCAAAGCGCTTGGGGGCGCTGTGTTCTTTTATAGACCTACCTAGGCCCTGTTTAGACGACAACTGTTTCTCTAAAAATGGAAAAGTCTGTCCTTTGCGTTTTAGAAAACTTTCGCGTTTATATGACGACGTTATTGAAACGATCTCCGTTCACACGGAGCCGCAAAATCGAGTAAGGTAAAGCTGCAGTGCGGAGGCTGCAGTTTCAGGACTGTTTAATTTTCCGAGCGGAGGCTGCAACCTGAAGTTTATTTTTGGCTGACTGGAACCGTAATGAGTATGTGCAGAAAGTCTCAGTTTTCAGAGGAACTGCATATTGCAAGTTTAGGGGGCAATCACACAGAAATGAGACGCTAGAGACACGGACGCTTCAAAGAAGCTTGAAGCGCTGGAAGTGCTTATTCAATGCGCGCTAGCTACTGGCATCTGACGCTCAAAAAGTTGAAAGTATTTTAACTTTTTAGCGTCTACGCACGTCTAAAAACGCACGTCTAAAAAGAAGCGTCTACAAAAATGTGTGTCTAAAAAGACGCTTGAACGCCGGTCAGACGCGCCGTATCATAGGAAAACTAAGGTTTTACCGGCATCGCGATTCTAGCGTTTCATCTTGGTGTGATCGCTCCCTTACATGACAACAGAGACGGTGCTGTTTCCAAAAAATTGCACTCTGGAACCCGTTTTCAAAACGTTGCGTTTTCAGGCACCCAAAACGCCGCTGTCATGTAAACGATCGGCCAAAATGCAACTATAGTTTACGGTTTTTGTTTGAAATCGTTGTCGTATAAACAGGACCCTAGACTCTGTGACGTCTGTGGTCGTTGCTCATTCATTGTTTGTTTATCTTCCAGCTTTGCTCAAGTCACAGTGAAGATGGTGACCGAGAGACAGACCGTTGCTGGAGCTCGAAATGATCGACAATGAATAATAAATGCTCTTATTACAAATGTTATGACGACGACGAAGAGAGGCGACTGCGCCGATGTTCTGTATGGCCGTTGAATGCTGTTGTGGTGCTGCAGCAGGAAGTGAAACCTTGCGAAATGCTGGAAATGATGTAGTTTGAAGGACCAATCATAGCTCTTGCAGTCTGCTTTGGGTCTGCGTTGCCTCAACGTGTGGTTACAATTTTTTTGAGGTGCATGTCGCGTCTCTGCGTCAGTCACAGAGGGACATGATGCCTCTGCAAAGCCCTCTGCATTGTAGGTACGCAGAAGCATAAACCTTGCTTTAGTGTCACCTCCACAACAAGGCTTGAGTCCTTGAAAGTCTTGAACGGGAAATCAGTCGTGTTATAAACTCACCAGCTGATCAGTGTGGCTGATAAACTGTCTGTTCATCTGACTGCTTCATTATCTGTGTGTGTGTGTGTGTTTATGTGTGTGTGTGCTGATCGTATGAACGTGTGGACAGTCTGCAGGGTTCACTGGTTGACTAAGTCAGCTGTTAGACACTGTTGGAATGAGCACTGTGTGTGTGTG